ATTTTAAATATTATGATTAAGCTTTTTGGGTGAGACATGTGCTAACACTAAACCCTTCGGGTTTCAATGGTTGTATCAATCAATTCTCTCGTCTCCTTCGTCAAAGTAATTTTCCAATCTTCCACCTTTTCTTTCTTAAAAAAAAGTTTGATTCACCAATACTACTTGAGCCCTAAACTTTTGAACATTGTCTTTTTTCACCTAAAGATTACTCAAAATTCTCAAAACTACAATTCACAATCTCTTCCACCACCCATCCCTCCTCTTCCGCCCATCATATAAGGCATTCCCATGAATGCCACCAACTTCTTCAGCTCCATAGATGGTTCCATCTTGATATCCTCATACTTCAAGAACAAGACCTTCTTAGGTGATTTTTGGCTTGCTTTCCAGTACCCCAACACATGGTCCTAATATGGTTCGTATTTGGAGACCCCGTTGCAGAAAATATCATATGCTTCATTAAAATAAATGGATGTAAGTTCCTTTGACTTAAATTTGCTCATGATATTCCACTTGAAATTAATGTCTTTAGGATCCCAACAAACGTACAGAAACTTAAATGCCAACGAGGGTGATGTTATTGAGGTCGGCAACAAGTCATGAGCAAAGTGTGTGGCGAATAGTCGAGAGGAAGGGTGATTGTAAAACTTACTTGGATAGTCAAGAAAGATGTGAGCATTAAGGGAAGGAAATACACCATGGGGTCTGATGCGATGAAGATGATGGTCGAAGACCTTGTAATAGAGGAGTTTGGAGGGGGTAAACATAAGATCTTTAAGCTAGGTTGTGTCTTATTTGATCAAGTGATGAGTTTAATGTCGTGTTTGTGTATAAAAAACTCGTGTTCAAAATTTGTGTAAATTTAGTACAATTTTATATTGTTTTAAGTTACTTTTTTGCCGTGTGTTTGTTGTGTTTAACTTATGTTTTTACAAGAAATTATGTATGACATTATATAAATTATTATTTTGTTATTTTTGTTATGTTATTGTGTTTTTATTAAGTCGTATTCGTCTTAATGAAAAAAAAAAAACAAACAAATAAACAAACTATCGTGTCTTGACGTATTCTGTTGAGAAAAAATAATTTTTTTTGTATCGTGTTAGACAAAAAAAAATATGGAACAACTAGTTTACCACCCCTTCATTATTCCGACGTACAATTCAAAAATATGCAAAATACATATGTGCATATGACATATGCACATGTAAAAGTTTACATGCATATGGCAAATACACATGCCAAATATGCATATGTCCACATTTTCAAAAAAATATGTATGTGCATATGATGGAGGAGTTCTTGTGAGTAAATTGTTTTTATATTTGAAGTTTTTAATATAATAATGAATGCCCATTTCATCGATAAAAGTTATTAGATTCTGATGTTGTTTTAAGTTTTCATTTGACTTGAGAGAGAAGTTCCATTTTCAGTCATTAAATTAAAAAGTACACCATTAAAATTAGACATATTATATGCAAGGACTCATATACTATCTACAACACGTCATCTCAATCATTATTCTTAAACATAGCCACCAATTGTTCTAGTCATCTTCTTGTATGCTACACGCCTTCACCCCCGTTATTAGATACCAAGTTACCAACACCCACCACAATCAAATTATCCATTGTTATGCTTGACCTTGCTTTCCACCTTTTTAATATGATTTCGTTTAAAGGTATGATATATTTGCATAATGTAGTCAAATTCTTGTGAGGGTTTTGGGTTTTGATATGGTGAAAAAGGTAATTAGAAAGAGAAGACAACCAAATTCATATTATTGATCAAGGACATACTTCATCTCTTAAAGCAAGCTATGAATACTTTAATTAAAGCTTTAATTGTTTGCTTTAGTTTCGTTTTTCATTCAATTTCAAAGTAACTGGTTTGTGTATTCAGTTTTAAGAGTTTATGATCCTTAATGGTTTGCTTTATGCATGTCGCCTGTCTTTTAAAATGCTTATGACATGAATCTTATAGATTTTTTTGGCTTTTTGGTGCACATGGTTGGCGCAATATACCAAATATTGAATTATTTAAGGATTAAGTACATGAAGAGAACAATGATAATGAAGGAAGATATGGTGATTGATTATAAGATAATTTATATTTGTTTAAGGAATTATATGCAATTGATGATTTTGAATAACCATAGAACCAATTTTGACATATAACGATTTTGAATATTTTTCATCTTCTCCAACTTTTCTCAATGTTCATTGTTTTTTAATATATGTTCATATATGAGCATATATATTCATATATGAACATATTTCCATATTTAAACATCCCCTATCCTAATAAATAAGTAGAATTTGGCCACGTGTCACTCTCCCAGACCCCCAAAATAGAGTTTCCCCGCTTCTTTTATTCAGGTCGAAGTAAATGCCATTCACTTCAAAATCAGGAATCAAATAACAATATACTCCGCAATTCAATTTGTCTATTATTTCGTCACTGCACTCCAATTTTGTTCCTGAAAATCAGGAATCAATCAACAATATACTCCGCTTGTAAATAGGTATCCGATATGCTGACTACTTATATTTCCTATTTTCTCGATCTACAACCCTAGATGTCACCACCATTGGATGCGTCTCCTTCGTCCGCCTCCCACTGGAAACGAACCGTAAACGATGTTGCTTCCTTCTCTTCTTGCCTCCTTTATCGTTACTCATGGTATGCTTCTACCTCCAATTTGTTGTTTATCCAGGCCCGTTCTTTAATCTGGTCTTCTTATATTTTATTGTTTGTTCAATTTTTTCTTGATTCTAAATGTGAGTATTAGATCGATCCATCACTTAATTCTTTCTTCTTAACCTAGCGTAATAAATGATGTTCAGAAACCATTGTACATGATTTGCTGATGGTAAACTTGAATACGATAGATTGATGGTGCACTGTATGTGATAGCTTCATTTTATTTACTTCTTTTTATAGTTTATTTTAGCATATTTCATTCATAATTTAGATAATTTCCATGCATATTTTCCTTTTTGTTATTTTATGACTATTTCGGGTACTCTCGAATCTTGTGAGCATAATTGCAGGTTTTCGGGTCTAGCGGAGCGGGAGTGTTCGGGACGTATAGGAGGCGATGAGATGTGGTAGACAAAAATGACGTTGGGCTTGATGGGTAGTGGAGATGATGCATGGAGTGATCTTGATGATTATTTGAAGACTTGGAGAGAAATAAACTTTAAATTTGCAAGATGCGGGGGAATATTCAAGCGTACGTAAATTATTAATCGGGCGAGTTCACGAGCTTTGGAGGATTTGGAGAGGTCAAATTGGGCTTAAAATGAAGAAAAACTTAAAGAAAATGGGCTAGGAGGTGATTGGATTCGATCTGGGCCAAGTGGGCTAAGCTATGGAGGCCCAAAACCTCAAAGATGCTACATCCAGGGACCACCCGCGCAACCCACCCGCGCAAGAGCACACGGGTCGCGCAACCTCCTGCAGGGGCAGTTTCGAAAATTCTTCTTTTGAGCTATTTGAGGAAGGTTGGTGCCCATCTTTTGCATACTCTTGGACATCCGATTTTTGAAGATTCTCTCTGGAGTTTTGGAGACTTTTGAAGGCCAAGAACCCTTGAAGAACATCATATTTTTACCTCTTGATTCTTGCTTAATGTTTGGTACAAATTTCTCTAACTTTGTTTCTTTGGGTTTAGCCATGCTTGGCTAAGCTAATCTTGGTTGACTTTTGGTTAATCCTTTGAACTTTTGTTGAATGTTGAAGAATCCATGAACATGTTCTTGAATCTTTATGGAAATGTTTTGTGTTTTAACATCTTATCATTACTTGTATGTTTTAGTTCATGAGTTTAAATGTGTTTGTGGTGATTAGTTGGCTAATTTCTTGATTAAGTAAAGGATCCTCAAATTAGCAAGCAACAAATGATTTTTGTGTTGTTTTTGCTTCACACAATCATAAAAACATTTCCTCCAACATGGTGGTGAAAGCATTTGACCCCTCTTGGATTTGGTGACTTTTTGGTTCTTAATGCTAGTTGACTTTCACTAATTACATGCTATTTGGAATTAGTGACTTTGACTAAGGAAATTGTTATGAGCTTCTCTAGCCATTTCAACAATTAAGAAAAGTCTAGGTAATCTCAAGCTCCTTGGATTACTATAGCCAAATTGAGGATTTAAAACAAGTATTGCACCATTGAATTCTAATGATATGTTCATCAAAAGTCAAAGTGAGAAAACTTTAAGTTAACCATCTTTCCCTTATTGATTTTACATCAAATTCTTATTTTTGTTGCAATTGTCTATTTAAATCATAGTTAATTCTAGTTTGTTTCAAGTATTTCAAAACATCAAAACCCCCATTTTTAATTTATTGTCATATTCCAACTATTTTACAAAGAGATTTTTCATAGAGTTATCAAATTGAATCAGTCTCCATGGATTCGATCCCTTTACCAATATACACTATTTTAGTGTGTAATAATTAGGGTTATTATTTGTGTTGGCCTCGACAACCACCAGTATGTGTTTGATAAAATGCTTGTGAGAACTTGGGCTTGTGTTACTGTTCGTGTGTGTTTGGGATGCTGTAATTGAAATAAAGTAAAGTATAATCCTATTTCTTTGAAACCTAATAGGGCTTTGTATTCTTGTAGTTTTGGAAAGTGTCAAATAATTCATTGGAGGCAAGTTCACAAACTAGAGTGCTAATTGCTGGTGTGCAACAGTAGTTGTGTATCCACCTTCTGATTTTAGCAATCAGTATACTGAATGGAGTCAAGATATAAGGGATCCATATCAAAATTAGCACAACATTGTATATCCACCTTCAAATAATTAAAATTATGTTGTTAGAACAGAAAGTAGCAATGCAATCTTCAACCTATCTTCTGGATGGCATCATGACAAATCAGCAGAAATGGGAATTGTAGATGTGTATGTTGAAAACTGTATTCTCTTATCATCATTTAACGGAAGTGGGTCCATTTCGAGATTAAATTACAAAAATACCCCTCGATGAATGATGTGATCATTACAAGTCCATCTATTTCTTTTGCCATTAGTAATGATGTTTCTCGATTTGGAAGCATTGTGGAAAATGATAGTATGCAAGAGTTTCGTGTTATTGTTGAAGATGTAACTGATAATCGGCCACCTGGCATCCCTTCATCTGTAGCAGTGATGCCATATGTTCAAGATGAATCAAGTGATGGAGTTTTAGTAATTAGAAACAGAGAAAATGAGATTGTTGCTCAATCTCATAGCAAGGTAAATTTTTTATAGAAATTCATTTTATTTAGTAATTTTCTTTGGCCAATTTGATTAATCTTCATTTTTAGGATGTTGAGGATGATAAAGGAGTGAATGGTGAACACCATACAACAGTAGCTAAAGCTGAAGATGGGATGCATGGTCTGCAGATGATGTAATTCACGATCTCTCCTGTTAAAAATTGGGCAAATAAATAAAAGTTTAAAAAACTTTAATCAAATAAAGATTTTAGCTTATTTTAACTAAGGATTCCATAGATGCAGATCATAAAAATGTTGATCTTGAGGAACTACGTGAATTAGGAGCCGGTACATTTGGAACTATTTATCATGGTAAATGGAGGGGAACAAACGTTGCTATAAAAAGGATTAAAAAAAGTTGTTTTTCGGCAAAAAAAAAAAATCAGAGCAAGAGCGATTGGTAAGTTGATATTTCTTGCATCTAACCTAAACTCTATATAAAGAAAGATTAGATTTGATCCATGATTATTTTCATAGACTAAAGACTTTCGGAGATAAGCTAAGATACTTTCAAGACTTCACCACCCAAATGTGGTGGCACTTTATTGTGTGGTGCCAAATGGTCCAGGGGGACATTATCCACTTTTATTGAGTATATGGTTAATGGTTCACTTAGACATGTTCTATTGAGAAAAGATAAGTAAGTTGAACATCAACTTATTACTTATTAAAAAAATGGATATGAAGAATTAACATATATGGTGCAGATCATTTGATCGGAGAAAGAGGCTTCTAATTATGCAAGATGTTGCAGTTGGCATGGAGTATTTGCATTGGAAAAACATTGTTCATTTTGATTTAAAATGTGAAAACTTGCTTGTTAATTTGGGAGATCCTCATAGACCCGTATGCAAGGTAATTCATATCTACTTTTTTTTTATTTTTTTTATAATTTATAAAATTCCAAGTAACAAATATTACATTTAAAATACCATTATACAATTAAATTTCAGATTGGTGATTTTGGTTTATCAAGAATTAAACGGAACACACTTGTGTCGGGTGAAGTAAGAGGAACACTTCCATTGATGGCCCCGGAGCTTTTTAGTGTTCTTAACAATCTAATTTCCCTAATCATATTTACTCTTATGACAATTTGTTAATGTTAGCATATGAAGCTTTTGAAGGAAAGCATACATAACTATGTATTGCACTTATGTGTTTTGACCTTTTTGCCCCTCTAATGTTTTATGTTTATCTTTACCATTTCATTTTTTTTTCTGGTAACACTAACAATTGCAGCTTTGAGGACACTTTAATTTGGTATCACAAAAAACTATATACACTATACAAACGATGCTTAGGTGGTGTTTTTTTTGGCTTAATGGTTTAATTTTAGCATACAAGCTATGCTTGATCAATGGACAATAAAACAAGGTTATATTTATGTTTAATTTTTTTGATATATATTCATCATTTATGGGGTCTTAGTAGTTGGTTGCTATTAATGACACTATTAAAATCAACAAGGTCCATGCTAACTGTAATATTGTATATTTTTTATTTTTTGATTACATGTGGTATTATATTTTTTAACCAAAATTTACTATTTGGTATTAGCAATTCCATGGTTTGGAATTAATGTTTACTCATTTGCATTTAAAAATGATTATAATGAATTTTTGTGTTGGATTTTATTTAGGTATATGGAACAAAGAATGTGGGTTTCATTTTACAAGCTTAAAATGAAAAATTCAGTATCATGTTTATTATTTTGTTATCGATGGAATCTAGGAATTCTGTTCATTTTTACGACTTTGATCCAAAAACAAAGAAAATAACTGGTAAAAGTTTTAAGTGCATTGTTTTTTTGGTAAAAGTCTACAAATACATTGCTATTATAACTATAAATGAATGGTAGTATTATTTTATTACATAATCAAATTTTTAATTCTATTTAAAATTAACACACGTGGGTTCCACGGGTTTTAACCTAGTATGTTTATATAAACATAGATTGATATGTAATTTTTTAGCATTTGTATAACACTAGATTTACATGTGTTAATATATGAACAAAGATTTAAATATGGAAACATGAACATATTTCCATATTAGAACATATGTTTATATAAACATAGATTAGTATGTACTTTTTTAATATTTGTATAGTATTAGATTTACATGTGTAAATATATGAAAGATTATTCATTTATGAATATATGTTCATATACCCATATATGTTTATATAGGAACATATGTTCATACATGAACCTAGGTTTCAATAGTGGTAAATAAATTTTATCTATATTTATTAACATATGTTCATATGGTTATAAAATGAACATAAACTCTTTTTTACAATCATAGCTCTTTGTAAAGTGGTTATGTGTTTTAGCGATTTTTACAATCATATATATATATATATATATATATATATATATATATATATATATATATATATATATATATATATATATATATATATATATATATATATATATATAGAGGCACATTTGTTACTAGTCTAAGACCTTTGTATAGAAGATTATTTGTTGAATTAATATATATATATATATATATATATATATATATATATATATATATATATATATATATATATATATATATATATATTCCGAGTGAGGTGTGCATATGTGCACTTTACTATTATAGACATGTAAACAAACATAAATATGCAAATGTATATTTTACATACAAACAATGCATGTGTGCACAAAAAATGCACATCCATGGACAAAGATAAATGTACATATATACACATGACAAATATGCACATTTGTGTTTGTGCGCGCGCGCGCGCGCGCGCACACACACACACATATATATATATATATATATATATATATATATATATAGCTCCGGTAACAATTTTTTTTTTTTGTAGGAAGGTAATAAGTTTTTTTCCACATATTTTTTTGACGAACAAAATAAATGGATCACTAGATGATTCATTTATAAGATAATTCACAAGAAAAAATTCCCAAAAAAACATCTTTATGATTCATTTTTAAGTAAAATTAAGAAAAAATTCATTTTTATGAAAATTTTAGTGAATAACAACAAAATCATTGTATAAATGAATCATCGAGATGTTTTTTTGATAATTTTTTCTTATGAATCATCTTACAAATGAATCATCTAATGATTCATTTTGTTTGTTCGCGAAAAAAATATGTAGAAAAAAAACTTCTTACCTTCCTACCAAAAATTTCCTTCTTATATGTGCACCTTTTACAATTTAAAAGAAAATGTTTTAATGTGCACATTATATGTGTACAAACACAAATGTATATATGTGCACATCACTAATATAGACCGACAAAAATTATAAATTTTGCTACTTTTAGTTTTCTTCGATAATAAATAAGCTCAACAAATTAAAAAAAATAGCTTATTTTAGGTTATGAAATAGCTTCTAAGTTAGCTTTCGATAAGCTATTTTGAGAAGATTATGTAACTTTTTAAAGATATTTTAAATATATCTTTAATTATATCTTTTTTTTTAATTATAAATCTAAATGTAAATTAATGTTATTTTACATCCTAATCTAGTTTATAAGTTATTTTTTTATCAACACTCTTAATTCAAAAGTTAGTTTATCGACTACCAACTAAGTATTCAGGTTAAACACATATTTTTTAATATATATATATATATATATATATATATATATATATATATATATATATATATATATATATTTGTGTGTGTGTGTTTGTGTGTGTGTGTTTCTGTGTTCAAGTTCATTTAAAACAATGCTAATTTTATGAGACCAAATCTAAAAATAATTTTAAAATACAAAATAAAAGGAAAAATCCAAAATTCTTTTTTTAATTATTATTTTCAGAACTTTATTCACCTAAAAAAATAATAACAAAACAAATAAAAAAAAATTACCATTTTTTTTAAATACGTGAAATATTATAATAGAATATTACCCTGTACATTTCTAATATGATTTTTAGAATGTTTAGAATATTTACGAGATTTGCCAGATATGTATATTTACTAGATTTGTCAGATAAGTAGAATATTCTAAATATTTTACTAAAATATATAAAAAATATATATACTTTTTGTATTTATTTATTTTTTTTGGTATTTTTTTTTGGAAAATATATATTCTGAAAATAATATTGGAAAACAAAATTTTGAAAATTTTTAATTATTTTGCATTTTTAAAATGTTTTTGTTTTATCTATTAAATGAGTGATTAGGATTGTTTCTCACGATTTCATAAAATTAAGTCGTCTTATATATATATATATATATATATATATATATATATATATATATATATATATATATATATATATATATATATATATATATATATATATATATATATATATGGTTAGGTTCATTTGAGACCACCTATATTTTGTGAGACCGTGAGACGCATTTTTTTATTTTTTTTAAATTTTTTTTAGTTAATTCATGTTCCGAAAATAATATTTAAAAAAACAATTTTTTGATTTTTCCATTTATTTTGCATTTTAAAATTATTTTTAGAATATGTACACTGTAATATTCTATTTAGAATATTTCATGTATTTTTTAAAAAAAATAGAATTTTTTTTTTGGTTAATTCAAGTTCCGAAAATAATATTTAAAAAAAGAATTTTTAGATTTTTCCATTTATTTTGCATTTTAAAATTATTTTTTAAAATATGTCAGTGTAATATTCTATTTAGAATATTTCACGTATTTTTCAAAAAAAAAAAACGGAATTTTTTTTATTTTTTTTATATTTTTTTATATTTTTTTTATTTAATTCAAGTTCCGAAAATAATATTTAAAACAAGAATTTTTGGGATTTTTCCATTTATTTTGTATTTTAAAATTGTTTTTAGATTTGGTCTCACGGTCTCACAAAATTAGAATGGTCTCAAATGAACCTATATATATATATATATATATATATATATATATATATATATATATATATATATATATATATATATATATATATATTAATTTTTAAGATGTTTAACTCCTATATGTTTCACTAGTATTCTTATTGTTGCGATATCATCTATATTATTTTTAAACAAGTTTTATATTGTTTTAAAAGTTTTAAGAGTGTTTCGGATTTCTGTTAACATGGAAAGATATTTTATTTTCAAAATAATTATTAAATTCAACTTAATCTTACGGGAGATGTTTACATAATATATAACTTAGATTACATGTTCCATCCTTGTTTTTAATGCAAAGACATTATGATTTACCTCCCAAAAATATGAACCATGATACTAGTTGACAAGGGAATCTACAAAATATTAGTCGAAGCATCCTCGGAGTGTATATTAGTTCTGACAATCGTGTCGTGTTCGGGTTGGCGTGTCGCGGGTTGGCGAGTTGGCGGGTCAAAATATGTCAACCCAAACACGACCCATTTAAATATACAGGTCACGGGTTAGCGAGTTTGGAACATAAACTCATATATGACCCGCCAACCCATTTATTTATACGGATTCACGGGTTGGCGGGTTCGTGGGTCCAAATTTTAGACATTTAAGTCTTAAACATCCAAATGAAAATTAAAAACATTTATAGAAACATGTTACAGACTTAGCTTTAGAGATTACGACTTACGATCTTAGACCATCCACCACGAGTCAAAATGTCAAAATAGTCAAATGGTCTATGAATAAATGGTATATATATTATATAATACTTATTAAATATTAATACTTGATATATAAATACATTTAAAAATAAAATTATTTTTTTATTGAGAATATAAACGGGTTGGCGGGTCAACCCGTTTATTTTTGAGAAACTCATATATGACCCGTTTAATAAACGGGTTGGCGGGTTGGCGGGCTAGCGGGTTGACGGGTTGAAAAACTTAACTCAAACCCATTTATTTTGTGTCGTGTTGTGGGTCGTATCGCGGATCGTATCGAGAATTGTGAGCCCTAGTGTATATCAAGTGTTATTCTCATTCATGTAAAATACACAACAACAATTTGTAAAGAAAGGTAAGATTAAATATAAGAAAAGCATTAGTGTCGTATAAAAGATGATCTTAGACAAAATATCATTTAAAGAGGGGGCTAATTGAAACATTAAATAAAAAACATGGTTTTATTTATTTATTTATTTATTATTTGTGTGTATACTATATACTAATGACTTTGAAAAAAGCTAAAAAAACACTCCCTCGTTTCCCCTCTACTTCCGGCAAAGCGACCGACACATTACCTAACA